CCTTTATGCTATATTCCTGGGGGGGGTGTTTTTTTGGAGGTCCCTTAAGTCCCCGAGGTTGTGGGTGTTAGGGTACGCTGCAATTTTTTTCCACAGTACTGGATGCAGTGGGGGTCCTGGGATTTTGTTCCTTTCAAGTGCCTAGTTCTGTTTGTTTTTTGTCATTTCTTCTTTAGACTAAAACACAGGACAGGACCCCGGTACAGGCCCCAAAGAGGAGATGTGCAGTGTGTGCGGCCAAGTTAGGCGCAGGTAGTGAGAAGCCTTTATGCCGCAACTGCATTGATGGTCTTGTTAGAGACGAATCTTTTACTACATGCCATAAAGTTTTGTCCTCTATTAAAGAGGATATGTCGGCAACTTTTCAGGCGTTTAGGTCCCTTCTGGATAGGGTTCAGTCTCCTTTGGAGATTGGTTCGCAGTCTGCATTGGGGATCATGCCCTCCCGGCAGGTAGTTCCGGATGAGGAGGAAGACGTTCCTCGATCTCGGACATCCTCCCAGTTAGGTTCAGGGTCCGAGGAGGAGGAAGCCCCCACCTCTTCGGGCTCTAAGTATAGGTTGGCCCTAGAAGAGGTGGACGAGCTTTTGAAAGCTATTTATGAAACTCTGGAGATAGAGGAGGAAGAAGTGACCTTGTCGAAGCATGATCTCATGTATCAGGGGCTTCATGCTAAAAAAAGCCAGAGTTTTTCCGGTCCATAGTTCCTTGGTTGAAACTATCAGACAGGAGTGGGAAAGCCCGGAGAGGAGGCCCTTCTTTTCCGGTGCCCTAAAGAGGAGATTCCCCTTTGACGAGGACCCCTCACAACCCTGGAATAAAGTTCCAAAATTAGACGCCCCTTTGTCCAGGATTTCGAAAAGGACGGATCTGGCCTTTGAGGACATGGGGGCCTTGAAGGACCCTATGGACAAGAGGGGGGAAGTTTTGTTGCGAAGAGCCTGGGAATCCTCTTCAGTCAGTTTGAAGCCAGCCCTGTCGGCGACTTGTGTGGCCAGAAATTTGGAGTGCTGGTTAGCCCAACTACAGAATCACCTAGCGGCAGGAACCTCGAGGCAGCAGATCCTAAAATCACTTCCGTTGCTTCTGAAAGCGGCGGGGTTTTTGGCGGACGCCTCGGCAGAATCGGTCAAGCTTGCGGCCAGGTCCTCAGCCCTGGTTAACTCCGCTAGGCGAGCTTTGTGGCTAAAGACCTGGGCGGGGGATTCAGCGTCCAAGTTGCGTTTATGCGCTTTACCATTTTCGGGGGATAACCTTTTTGGCCCAGGCCTGGAGGAGGCTCTTGAGCGTACGGCAGATAGGAAGAGAGGCCTTTCCGGAGAGCAGAAAAAAGGTCTTTCCTAGGAAACCCTTTCGGCCTAGAACCCAAGTGCTTCCGAATAGAGAAGTTCAGCCAAAGAAGCATTGGACAGGGCATAAAAACAGAGGCCGGGGAGGGATATTATTCAATCCTCCTCAGGGATCCTCCAAGCCCCAATGACTTGGATGGCCCGGTAGGGGGAAGGTTGGGGTCCTTTCTCCCTCATGGGCTTCTATATCCCCGAGCCCCTTCATTTGGAGCCTGATTCAGGGAGGCTACCGGATAGAGTTCGGGGACTGCCCTCCAAACAGGTTCTTAGTTACAGATCTTCCCAGGGACCGCAGGAAGTCTCAGGCGTTATGCGGTCTTATAGGGGAATTGGTGGACCAGAAAGTTCTGGTGCAGGTGCCTCAGAACGAGCGGGGTTCAGGGTGTTACTCTCACGTCTTTGTGGTGGGAAAGCCTTCAGAAAAATTCAGGTTAATCCTGAATCTACGCTCCCTAAATCAGGCTCTAACATACAAGCGCTTCAGGATGGAGTCGTTATATTCGGTAAAGAATATACTGTTCCGGGGGTGCTTCATGGCCACAGTGGACTTGAGAGATGCCTATTTTCACATTCCCATCCACCAGGCAAGTCAGAAGTTCCTGAGGTTGGCCATAAGGATGGGGTCGCAGACCTTCCATTGGCAGTTTCGGGCCTTGCCCTTCGGTCTAGCGTCAGCTCCCAGGATCTTTACAAAGGTTTTAGCAGAAGCTTTGGTTCCTCTGAGGCTGAGATCAATCTTGGTGGTTCCTTACCTGGACGACTTGCTTCTGGTGGCCGGGTCTCGGCAACAGTTGCTCGAGCACCTAGCAGTAGTTCAGAACCTCCTGCAAGGTCTGGGCTGGCTTATCAACAGGGAAAAGTCGTCTTTGGTACCTGCACAGAGGGTGGTTTACCTAGGGTACGAGATCTCTTCTGTAGAGGAAAAGATTTTTCTGCCACGGGAAAAGTTCGAGAAGATGAATCGAGTGTTGTTAGGGTTGCAGTGCAACCTGACGGTTTTCGGTGAGGGAGATCGCAGGGGCAGTGGGTCTTATGACATCCTGCTTTCCGGCGGTTCCATGGGCAAGATTTCACCAGAGACCGCTCCAGGCCTTCTTGTTGAAGGAATGGGACGGAAATGTCTCAGAGCTGGAGCGGCAGGTCCGGCTTCCGTCCAGAGTCAAGAGATCTCTGTGGTGGTGGCGAACGGAGAGAAACTTGACCAGGGGTCTGGATTGGAGGCCATCGGATCCACTCATTGTAACCACAGACGCCAGCAGTTTTGGTTGGGGGGCTCATCTACAAGGGAGAACGGCCCAGGGGAGGTGGTCCCAGGAGGACTCCTTGAAAGCCCTCAAATCAGCGGGAGCTGTTGGCGGTCGGGAAAGCCTTGGAGGTTTTTTCAGGCAGGCTTGAGGGGCCTTCATGTTCAGGTTCGTTCAGACAACATGGCAACGGTAGCTTATGTGAACAAACAGGGGGGGACAAGGAGTCCTTCGCTGCAGAGGATCGCGGGCAATATTCTGACCTGGGCAGAACAGAACCTGCGTTCAATTTCGGCGGTACACTTAAAAGGTTCAGAATTCGCTTGCGGATTTCCTGAGCCGAAGGCCACTCTCCCACGACGATTGGTCGCTCAACCAAGAGGTGTTTCAGGAGTTGGTGTCCAGGTGGGGGAAACCGGAAGTGGATCTCTTTGCGTCACGGAGAGAACAGGAAGGTCAACCAGTTCTTTACCCTAAACTCGCGAGAGCAGAGCTTGGGGATAGACGCTCTGTCGACCACCTGGGATTTCGGGCTGGCCTATGCGTTCCCTCCAATCAGGCTGATTCCAGCGGTCCTGCAAAAATTTTTAGAGGAAAGGTCGGATCTACTCTTGATCGCTCCTTTTGGCCGAGAAGGCCATGGTTTTCCCTACTGAACAGGCTGGCGTCAGCTTGCCCATATCCCTTGCCGGAAAGGGCAGATCTGATTGCGCAGGGTCCGCTTTTGCATCCGCGAATCAAGACGTTGCGATTGACGGCCTGGTTCTTGAGGAACAGATCCTCAGAGCCAGGGGGTTCTCGGATCATGTAATAAAGACTTTGGTGGGCTGTCGCAAGCCGGTAACCAGAGCCATTTATTCCAAGGTCTGGAAAAGATTTGCCTCGTGGTGTTCGGACCGACCAGGGCCCCTGGACATTCCGATGGTTTTGGATTTTTTTTCAGGAGGGGGCAGATAGAGGACTCTCGATCAGCACCTTGAAAGTACAGGCTTCTGCTTTGAGTATTTTTTTGCAGTGCTCTTTGCAACAAAATCCCTTTGTAATTGATTTTTTTTTAGATCCCTCTCCAGGGCTAGGCCTGCTAAGGTGGGAGGTTGTCCGAGTTGGGATCTGTCTCTGGTCCTAAGGGCTTTGGTTCGAGAACCTTTTGAGCCTTTAGAGGAGTCAGCTTTCAAGTTTTTGACCTTAAAGGTAGTTTTTTTGGTAGCAATCACATCGGCCCGTAGGGTGAGTGAGCTTCAGGCGCTCTCAATTAGGGAGCCTTACTTGACCATTCTTAAGGACAGGGTGGTGCTTAGGACTGATCCGGGATTCCTTCCTAAAGTATCCTCTTCTTTTCACAGGTCGCAGGATATTGTTCTGCCGACCTTTTGTTCTTCCTCTGAAGGTAAAGAGGAAGACAGCCTAGGTTTGCTGGATGTAAAGAGGAGTCTTGTAATTTATTTAGACAGGTCCAGGGAATTTAGGAAATCTGATTCCCTTTTTGTTTTGTTTTCAGGGCAGAGAAAGGGGTTAGCAGCATCTAAAGCCACGATAGGCAGGTGGATTAGGCTGGCTATTGGGGAATCTTACAAGGTTTTGGGGATTCCACCTCCTTTTGTTAAGGCCCACTCAACTAGATCCTTGGCAGCGTCCTGGGCGGAGAGAGCCGGGGCTTCGCCGGAGGAGATCTGTAAGGCAGCCACTTGGTCGAGGTTTTCCACCTTCGTGAAGCATTATCGCTTGGATATCCTGTCAGATAAGGAACAGGCGTTCGGACGCAAGGTCCTCCAGGCGGTGGACCCACCCTAAGGGGGTAAGTTCTCGTTTATCGTCTCAGATGGCTGTCCTGGAAGACGTAGGGAGAAAACCAGAGTTAGACTTACCGGTAACTCCTTTTCTATGAGTCTTCCAGGACAGCCGGTAATTCCCACCCTTCTAATGTACAACCGAGAGAGTTAAGGTTGACTGCATGAAAATTGTATTTACCTATATTTGTGTCTTTCAGTGGCTTCCGCTAGTTCTCTTTTAATAACTGGATATGAGGCCCGGAGGCCCGCCTTTTAAAGGCATGGGGGATGGTGTGTTTCCTGACCCGGAGGGAGGAGCCCAAGGTCTCAGATGGCTGTCCTGGAAGACTCGTAGAAAAGGAGTTACCGGTAAGTCTAACTCTGGTTTTCCACCCTATTTGTCAGGTGATTGTTGTGTAATGTTTTCCTTTTGCATTACTGGAGATAGTCTTCTGTATCTCAACTAGGGACTAGGGGGTGGGAAGGGTCCTTTCACTGTTCCCTTGTGTTTCCTCTAGAGGGAGGATCCAATCCTTTCTCAGGTTGCTGTTCTGGAAAACTCATAGAAAACCATTACCAATAAGTCTAATTGGGAATTTTCTGTCTATTCTAGGCTCCCTCTACTTGAATAATGACAGTGGAATCCTTGGGAAGAAAGTGAAAAGAGCAACAACAAAGCTCCCAATGTGCAGAAAGCAAAAGATAAATGGAAAAGCTTATTAAACCATGGATCCCAACAAAAACCTGCTAAGCTCCAAGTACAGATATGGAGCAAGGCTGCTATCGGTGGGTGAGATCTATCAAAATATGCTCCAAAGTGGAAAATAAGTTTCAAGAAGCTGTATCTGGACGTTTGTGCTTGCATAGACTTAAAGCGGGACTACACTGCATCTAAGCACCACAAATCAAAAACGCTATTTAATTCATTTTTAATATTCAAAGAAAACTCATCCATCCATGTCTACAAGCTTTATTTTGCTGATAAATCACTTTGAAAAACACCCTCTAGCATTTCTGGCTGTGGCCATCTTGAGGAAAGGCAGATGATTCATGTAGCATTTACTTCCTGGAATCCATCTGCCCTTAGCTCAGACATACAGGCAGGAAGGTGTGCTTAGCTGAGAGAACCCCTCCTCCTCACATGAAGACTTGTGGGATGTATGACATTATTTGCCTAGGCATGGAAAACAAGGTTTACAGAAGAAGTGTTAAAAAAAAAAAAACAATTATATAAGTAAATATGTAATGCTTTCCTATCTATTTACTAATGCTAGCAGATCTTTCCCCCACAGCCGTTGTCTCAATTTGAAAAGAGCGAGGCTGTGCGGGGTTCCGCTTACACACAGCCATGTCATTTGTTCAGAGTTCTGTGAATGAACAGACTACCAGTACTTGACAGCCTTTGAGGATGATGGCTTGTAGTTCACAATGAACTACGAGGGCGCTAGTGAGCATCCTGATAGCTCATTGAACTGGTGTAACTGCCGCCCATATCAGAGGTACAGAGAAACAGCTACATTGACAGTCTGCAGGAGCCTGAGATTTGCTTTGACCTGCAAAAAAAAAACAGCATTTTTGTGAATTTATCCTTTTTAAGTTAGAAGTTTCCAGGGATATATCTTCCACAAGGCTATAGACCTTCTGTATGACAATGCTGCTTGGCTCAACACAGTCAATATTATGGTGCCTGTTATTCTGCTATTTATCTTGTGGATTTCCAGTATGGGCTTTAGTATGGGTACAGCAATATAATAGTATGGCAGAGAATACAATGTGATAAAATAATTAGTTACCATGTATTCTGTTCTTTGTAGGACATTACTTGTGGCAGCATGTTTTCGAAGGACCACTTGAACCCACTGATATTAATGCTCAGTGGAGGGAAGGAAAACTAAGGACAGGAACAACGGAATTCAGGTACACAATGTCAAACTATTAATTTATATCTGAATTTTTGTGACACCTGTTAAAAAAAAAAAAGTGTGTGTATTTATATATTTACATCACACACACACGATTGTCAAAAGTATAGGGACAACACCCCTCCAAATCATTGGATTCAGGTGTTCCAATCACCTCCATGGTCTCTACAGGTGTATAAAAATCAAGCACCTAGGCATGCAGACAGCTTCTACAAACATTTGTGAAAGAATGGGTCGCTCTCAGGAGCTCAGTGAATGAATAGTTGAACTGGATGGACTTTTGTCTTTTTTCAACCCAACTGTAACTGTTAATAAATTAAAACTGTGATGTTTCCTTGCTACTCCTAAATATTCAAACTATTAGTGTATAACATCCAAATCAAACACATGCAATATTAAAGTGGGAGACTTGGAAAATAGACTCAGGTGCAAGAACCTCATAAGTATAGAAATCCCTGACTGCGAAAGGTGAAAAATTCCCAAACCTGAGACTTGGTTATGCAACGTGTTTGACAGTGTGATAAAGATTTTAACATAGATGAATAAAAGCTGACCATTGTAAGCACCCCTATCCGTGTTAACTGGTTTGTTTCAACCCTCTAACTTCCGTTTTTGCTGGACAGCTTGGTCTGTTAAAGGAAGTTGAAAAATAACAGAATTACTGGCCAGATCAACTGGTGAAACATAAAGACAAAAATGTCTAAAACAAACAAGCAATACTGATGCAGCCACAACATCTAAGAATTGGTAAGCTGCAATATAATAATTCTTTTTAGTTATTTTTTTTGTTTAATACCGCTTGAAACACTTCTTAAAACAATGGAAACTGAAGCTGATGGTAGTTGTAGGAAAAGCAGAAAGGGAATATAAAATAATCCTATCCCTACTGTCCAATCTATATATCTGAAATGCTCATGTAGCCAGTTTAGCAGATAAAGTAAATAAAAAAGTCTCCTTGTCTAATGAACGTAGGAGCCCTTATTTATGTTTTGTGTTCATGACATTACAATCTCCTATGGATAAATTAAGAATGTGGTATATTAATTTTGCAATATTTTTGTAACTGGATTTTATTTTTGTTTTTTTGGGAAGCTTTATCACTGGGTCTGCAGTTGCTCCGGGATATTTCTCAGTGGAAATGGTGAATGTTGTTCTTGTTCTGAATGGCAGAGAGGAAGTGAAGATTTCTTTCGCTGTTCAGTGGCTGCAGTACGTACAGACATTGGTTGAAAACCACAAGCTCCACCATGTAGCTGTTGTTATGCTAGGAAATGAACAGTGCAATAATGACTGGATCCTTCCATATTTGAAGAAGAATGGAGGGTTTGTGGAAATATTATTTATTGTCTATGACAGCACTTGGATTAATGAAGAGAGTATTTTTCAGTGGCCACTAGGAATTGCTACGTAAGTATGTCAATGCTATTTGATAAATTAGTTTGAATGTGTAAGGATAGGACAGAAGCTGTAGGTTCACTAAAAAAAAAAAAAAGTTATGTTAATGCACATGCCAGCTGCTTAATGTTGCACCATATCAAGAAAAAGGTAGGTTTTTTTTGATGAGGTTATCCCAATCTCACAACTCATAGCTTATACTCCAAAGCCAAATGTATATCCATTTTACATACTGGAAAGTGAATTGAAGGCTCATAGCAGTTTCCCATCACCTTTATGGTGAAAAGGAAACACACGTACCGTATTGCCTGATGTTCCTAATATAGAAGCAAGCTATAAATATGAAGTGCTTGACTGTTGCTAAACCAAAAACATCCTAACAAGGTATGCAAATAACTTACTTTTCAGTATACTCTGCTTACAATTGTTTTATGATGTATGTTTTGCCTTCTGTTTCTGAATTGCTCAAGTCCTAACTTTATACCATATCAACATTTTACAGGTATCGAAATTTTCCAGTTGTTGATCCAACCTGGTCATTGGTGCATGATTCACGGCCATACTTGTGCAACTTCCTGGGAACTGTATACAGCAACTCATCCAGGGAGGTTCTTATGGAGGTTATAAAGAAAGAAGGACTTGAGCAGCTTTGTTGGATCTCGCCCAGAAATCAGTAAGCTGTCAAATTTATGCTTTACTACTTTACAATCATTACCACACAACTGTTGTCATGTTACTTTGTGGAGGTTATACATACAGTAATTAAAGTGCATATAACTTTTTGGTTTGTTAAATGTATAGCGCTGAGAAGTTTCAGTGTTCTGTAACCTGGCCTAGAGATGACATACAGGGTAAGTGTTTTCCTCCTAGAACAGAAATTACAGTATGATACTGGAAGGCAAAGAAAGGAGTAACCAGCCTGAAAAAAAGACAATCTGGTACAGCCATCACATCTAAGAACTGGTAGGCTACAATATAAGCCAATCTGTGCTTAGATAATGGACATCCAAGTATTTACCCTTGCTGGAAAGCAATTCACATATGTGTGGTGGCAGGGTGGTTGGACCTTAAAGTGGTTCTAAAAGTAAAAGGTTTTCTACATTCATGCATTAAGATGAAAAACCTTCTCTGTGCAGCTCTTCCACCAACCTCCCCTTATACTTACCTGAGCCCAATCTCAATCCAGCACTTCACAAGAGCAGCGTCTCTCTCTCTCTTCACTGGACAGAGAGGCAGCAGCGAGCACAGAGGCAGTGTCCATTGTCTCCATTGCTATATGTGCTATCACTGAAGCCCTTACTGTCTAGGATTAGGAAGAACATAGACATAAAAGGAATAAAGATAGGAGATAGAGAACATAAGGTAGTGGCTTATGCGGACGATTTGATGTTTTATGTCGGAAATCCTAGAACATCACTACCAAATTTAATGAAAGCCCTGAGGGAGTACGGAGACCTGTCGAACCTGAAAATTAACCCAACAAAGACCGAAATCTTAAACATAAATCTCAAAAATAGCGAAAAAGAAAAACTACAAGAGGAATTTCCTTTCCTCTGGAGAGACAAAGAATTAAAATATATAGGAATAAAACTATCAGCCTCAAATAAGAACCTATATAAAGCTAATTATATCACGTTATTAAATGAAATGAAGGAGGAGTTAAGAAGAGTGGGACATGGAAACCCATCATGGATAGGTCGTATAAACTTGATAAAGATGGTAATTGTCCCCAAAGTATTATATAAATTTCAAATGATCCCAATCAAACTCCCAGAGGCATATTTTAAAGAACTGAGGAAAATGATAATAAAATGTATATGGAGGAATAAAAAGCCTAGAATAGGTTATGAAACGTTGACTAGAAGTAAAGAAAGAGGAGGATTGGGGCTACCGGATTTTAGGAGATATTACAAAGCGGGGATTATTGCAAGAATCTTCGACTGGATTCATAATCCTGAGAAAAGTTGGGTGAAAATTGAGAAAGCACTGAGTGGAATAAGTTTGAGTAATAGTATATGGGTACCGGCACAATATAGAGAATTAGAGGAGAGCACAAGTATGTACACTTTAAATGTCTTAAAAGAATGGGATTTATTACACAGACAAAAGGGGTGGGTTTTTAATTCACAATTAATACCACTTAGGAACACAAAATATTTTATCCCAGGTAAAAATAGTATAGCAGGGAAATGGATTATAAAACAGGAGGCGCAATTGAGAGATATAATGGTAGGAGAGGAAATTGGGTCATATAAGAATATGGAGGAAAGAAAGGGTGAAGTCTTTAATAAGATGGATAGATTAAGATATTACCAACTGAAGAATTTTTTTGATAGCCTCCCAAAGCCTATAAGAACTAGAAAAAACTGGAATCCATTTGAGAGAATTTTGGAGTCACGGGGAAATGGTAGACACGGAATGGCAAAAATACACAAGATACTAATGGAACTTGACATAGACACAAAATTAATGCACATAGTGAAATGGGAAAGAGATTTGGGAAGAAAAATAGAGGAGGAGGAGAAGAAGAAGATGTTCACATTAATTCACGAAAATATTAGTATGAGGGAAGTGGAAATAAATTATAAATGTTTGAATAGATGGCACATCACCCCCTTACCTGGAGCACAAGATGAATAGAGAAATTTCACAGATGTGTTGGAGAGGTTGTGGAGAGGTGGGCACGTGGTATCATATTTGGTGGGAGTGTGCAGAAGTACAGGTGTTTTGACGAAGGATAGTTCACTTGATAAGGAAGATTACTAAAATCAATATAGGATTAGATCCAGAATTATGCCTCCTCCATATCTCAGAACTCCCAGTGAAAGCTTATAAGAGTTCAGGGATATGGTACTACTTAACCGCAGCAAAAAGCCTAATACCTAGGTACTGGAAGAAAAGAGAAGTGCCAACTGAGGAAGACTGGAAGGGCAGAGTAAATCAGATATCTGGGACAGAAAGATTGTATTATATGCACGAGGACAAGCTCGAGGTCTATAAAAAAAAAATGGAAAGGATGGGGAAAATATAAAGAAATGGTGAAATAGATGAAGTGAATATGCTCCTGGTAGTCGGTTTAGAATTGGATTCAGGAACAACAGAATTATATGGTGTAAATGAGAGAAGAGAGAACATGGAGTGTGGGAGGGTAAGGGAAGGAGGGGATGGGGAGAGGGAGGGGGGGGGGGGCATGGGAGGGGGGGATGGTAAGAAAAGAAGGTCATATATATAGGAATAAATTAAATATGTTTTTGATAAATGTTTTAATAGAGATGTTGAAATGACTTGTATATGAAGTTAAAAATTTATAAATATTTAAAAAAAAAAAAAAGAGAGAGGCAGCAGCGAGAGTCACAGCCTGTAGGAAGGAACTGGGGGAGGGATTGATCAAGTGCCCCCATAGCAAGCTGCTTGCTGTGGAGGCACTTGGCAGAGGGGGGAGCCAGGTGTGAACAGCAGGGGACCGGAGAAGAGGAGGATCAGGGCTGTTCTGTGCAAAATCATTGCACAGATCAGGTAAGTATGTCATGTTTATTATTACAAATGTATCCTTTAGAATCGCTTTAAGCCCTGCTGCCGCATATATGCATTGCTGTCTTGTTCTGGGACACTTCATCAGCACTTCTAGAACCAGGACCAAGCTGTTACTGAGAGCTTATAATCAACTACTGATGATCAGAAGCCTGTAGGAGAGGCTCCCAATGATGTTAGCACTATGCAGCCAATCAGATGTGGAGAGATTGGTAGCCACACCTCCTGGCTTAGTGTCATGACCCCTTTAAAGCACTGGTTGCTGCTAGTATAGGGTAAAATATACCTTTACTGGCAACTAACTAATGGCAAAACATTTTTTCAGTGTTGGAGTTGAGAGGGAATAAAACACTTGTTGGGCTTGTTATTGCTGCCTATGCCCCGTTAGGTAGATTGACCCACAGCTGCATTCACTATCAGTGAACAGGAAGTGCTCTGTGCAGAGAGCTGACTGAGTAGTCACAAACGAACATGGGCATTCATGTTAACTATCTTTTCATGTGTGAATGAAAACAGGGGTGATCAGCACTGAACACCGTGGTGTTCATTCAACACAGAAAAATGAATATTAAATAATTACATGCATATTTACAGATTCTCCACTATCTTGAAGGATCTTTCCTGCTGTCCAAAGCCACCCTGCCCGTCACTGGAGCTTCTCTACTGGGGTGGGGGGCTGAGGGCTATCCCATTTCAAATGCCAGCATCAGTGGTTTGTCAGGTACTCATCATAGTTATTATTTTAAATTAGCAGAGCCAGGATTACACTTCTGATACAAGTTCATTGCAGTGGGCAATGCAGATGACGCAGGGGATACTAACCTGGCTAGCTGCAATGGTTCTGTTCTTCTATAACCCTCATGTCAGTGGAAGCAAAAAAGGTTAAATGTTTTATTAAGTTGTCAGGTTGGCACAATAAACTGTCTTTTATGGCAAGTCCTTTTTTGGCAATTGTTATATGAAAACTTGTAATCTATATCTTTTACCGAAAAATGTTTTTTGTAGACCTACCGCATTCTATAGGTACAGTTGGACTGACAAGGAAATCCACCTTATCCCTACTAAAAAGTTTCAGCTGTTGATCAACCTCAGACTCTAGTTTCCCTGACATCACCTTATTTATTTAACACAATGACGGCAGAAATGAAAACTACTGTAGAGAAAGTCCCAAGGCCTCCAGCTGCAGTAAGAATCTAGTTTCCTGTGGCTGGATTTACAGGTGCTGGCAGATGTTCAGCCCATTTAAAACAATGCCAGGCTGACAAAAGGCACACTTGCTGGGTGTTTGCATGTAGTCATATTTGGAACAAATACCTGCAGTTAGGGACAGATTGCCCCTGTACGCAGTGTTTTTACATTCAGAAGCAATCAAGTGTCCCTAACCACAGGTAATTGCTCCATGTGCGATTACATCTGAACACCAATGGACAGCATAACTCAGATCAAACTGTTTTGAGTATGATGGTTTAATGCGAAAGATGTCTTCAAAGCAAACTTGCTCTTTTAATACATTGTTATTTTCCCTGCAGTTGGCAGTGGATGAAATATGTTGTAGCTGCATTTTACATGAGTATACGGCTTGAACATTTGTATTTGTTTTGTAACAGGTGGCAGCCACAGGAGACAAATGAAAGTTTTAAAAGTTACAATGATGCACTGCTACAAAGTGACCTTACACTAAGCCCAGTAGGAATAAACACAGAGTGCTATAGAATTTATGAGGCTTGCTCTTATGGCTCTGTTCCTGTAGTAGAAGATGTGATGACACCCGGGAATTGTGGAAACTCTTCGGTGTACAACAGTGCTCCTTTGCGGTTACTGAAGTTATCTGGAGCACCTTTTATTTTCGTAAAGTCTTGGAAAGAGCTTCCCAGTATTATATATAGAGAAAAGAATATGAGTTTACAAGAGAAAATCCAGAGGAGGAAACAAATTCTAGAATGGTACAGACAATTTAAATTAAAACTGCAGCGGAAGTTTATTGAAACTCTTGAGAAGACTTTTCTGCATAGTGATACGTGAAGGATTATTTGTCTAAAAGGATAACTTGACTTTGTATTATGTTTATGTTGGTCATTGTACTTGTGCTGCCACTCTCTAGTGGTTTATTTCAGAATCCTTAAAGAAAAAAAAATTGCCATCATGTATTCAGTGTGTTATTTCAATGCTAGTTTACAGTGCTATTGGTTCTGTGCGTTTAAACTTCAAACACATTTCTCAAAGTGTTACTAAACCCACAACTGTAAAATCAGTCTGTATATGCAGTAAAGCATGCTTGTTATACTCACTGTGGAACCTAAGGGGTTAATCCTCTGCATTGTGTAGAAAGGCTGGTTTGATACTTTCTTCTCTGCCCCTCCTCTTGTTCAAATGTTCACGTCTTATCATCTGATAAAACAGACTGAACCCATAGCCCTTCTGCACATGCTCAGTTTAGTGTGTATTGCTAGAGGTTCTTTCTGTTGTTTTTGTTTTTTTTTTTTTTGTTTTGTTTTTTTTGGAAGAGTTCATGTGATCTGCACTGTCCAGACAGAGGTCAGGGGTTTTATATCCTCCTAGATCAGAAAGAAAACTCCTCCTACAAGCTTTAACCAGTGCTCAGCTGAAGTCACAGGACTGCTCTAACTGCTGATGAGAAAAGGTATTCGGCAGTTTATATTTACTAAAATAATTGCATTTCCATGTTCTGTGTACTGTGGGAGACCAGATATAGTGAATGCAGGATCCGGGTTTAGAATCACTCTAATCTTGCTATAAACCTAGGATTGCAGCTGGGATCAGGTGAATGTGGTTATTTTATACATTTTTAACATACCTCTGGAAAGTTTTGAAGATGTAAATGGCATTAAACTATTAAATACTTGTGCATTGTAAAATGGCTGATGTATGTTAACCACTTGAGGACCAACCCTTATATATCCTGTCATTACCAGGCCATTTGTCAGTGCTGTGATAGTTTAACAATTACTTGGTCATGTGATTAATGTACCCAAATGAATTTTTTATATCATTTTTGAGACAATGCTTTCTTTTGGCGGTGTTTGATGAGCAATACGTTATTTTCCTACTATATGAGAGAAAGCGACAAAAAAAAAATTGAAAAAACCCAAATGGCAGACTGAGACTAAATAATTGCTAGATGGGCCAGATGATGACTGATCAAGGAAGGCACACTAGTGATGGCTGCATGCTTTCCTGGTAAGGTCTGGGCAGGCAGGCAAAGATTTAAATCTAGCATCTGGTGACAGTTAACACGATCATACAATGTCTGCAGCACAGCTTTTCTCTCTGACACAATCGAAGAGGAGAGGGGAGGGATGGCTGCTCCATAGTGCTGTTTACACATGCAGTCACATGTGCTTGAGTCACTCCAATTGGCTGATTTAATTTTGGCCTGCTTAATGGTTGCTTGGATTCTAGGCATTCAAAAGATTAAACATTTTTTTTTTACAATGCTGTGGTATTAAGGTGGTTAAAATATTATCCACGCTGTAAAATTACTTTTTGTGTGAAAAGGAAGAATTTACAATATTTTACCGTGTGTTGTGTTCGTTTCTTCTCTTATACCTAAATTATTTACACATGGTTTTGTTGATAGAGACTAGTCCAGTGTGTTGCCTGGTGTGTATCTGTTCCTGAAAGCTGTTCTGTAGTACAACAGATTACTGCTGCTGTTATGAACCATTACATTTTAACAATTTCCAGTCTAGGCCAGATCTGACATTTTTCACATACTAGTAAAATCAGCATTTTTTTTTTTTTTTTTTGCTAGAAAATTAAATGCAATTTTTTAAGGAAAAAAAAAAAATCACTTAAACGCATTTTAATGCACAGAAACAATTTGATACCCAATGTTTTGGTAAATTACTGGTGACAAACTTCTCTACCTAAAAAAAAAAAATCTTCATAGGGGACATTTTAAAAGCCTTTACAGGTTACCACTTTAGAGTTTAATGTGAGCTCTGGTGCCAGAATTATTGCTCTCATTCTGACATTCACGCTGCTACCTCACATGGTATGGTGCAATTACCATTTACATATACACGTGTGACCTACATGCTTGGTTACATTTGTGCATGAGCATATGGGGGTGCATTCAATTTTTTTTCTAATTTTAATATTTATTTTATTTAAATTTTTTTTTTTTTTTTTTTTTTTTATTTCAACTTTACTGCTGTCACAAGGATTGAACAACATCCCTTCTGATAGCATATGCAGTGGTAGATACTCTATATGGAGAGATTTGGGGTCTTTTAGACCACTGATTTCAATTCTTCACTCCAAGGCAGCTGATCAAACCACGATTGGTTTGATCGGCTGCCTTTCTGGCTGGTACGGAAAACAAACAACTGAAATCGGAAGAGACGTAATACAGATTGCTTCTGGCTTCATTCGTCACAGAGGAGTGGAAGGTATTAGTTCTCCTTCTCCTTTGTCTGCAGTTGGCCCAACTGAGTGTAGCAGTCCTGGGTTCCCTATTTAATAGGAGAGCAGAGGGATGGCGGCAGGAGGAAAGGGGCTTTTTGTGCCCTGTAAAATTTATCTAGAGTCCATAGAGCTGCTCTTTTGATGCCAAGATCATGGGTGCAGGTAGGGATACATCCTATGGATGGGAAGTGGATAAAAGAAAAATTTATTTTGAGGGTGAAGTAAAAGATTTGCTGGATTGCATTCACTCTGCCCCCCACCCCAGACACCTGCAAGTGCCTCCAAGTTCTTGGTTGAAGCTAAGCTGAGGTTGGGGACTTTATCTGTGACAGTGCTCAAGCCTGGTAAATGGCCACTTACAACACTGAATGTGATGGATATCAATATGCTCCAGTGGTTTTCCTGTTACTTAGTTTGCAAAATTATTTTTTTAACTAAGTTTTTATATTAAATGTTTTTTTCACACTTGTACAACATGCCTTTGAAGAATGCAATGCAGTATAACATCATGCACTGATAATACCATGAGCAGGTACACAGGTTATCTGATCACTGTAGGTATCTGAGTTTTTATAATTCATTCAGCCTGCCCTGATGAAGTGAAATATTTAGAAGTCATTTTGCATAGCAATTCTCCATAAAGCACTTTTTGGACACCCTTGACAGCCATTCACTCACTAGAAGTGGTCTGGTGATTTCTAACAATGTTTTGGTATTAAAACTTTAGCTGCATTTGGTAAGTGAGGTAGCATTGTTTTTTTTTTCTTTTTTGATTTTGAAATTGAGAATTTGGTTTTATGGAACAAGACCACCCACAGGTTGAAGGGGAGAGGGTAACTTTTGCCTTCAGTATATATGCAACAGTACCACCATATATGGGACAATATCCCATATAATAAATCTCCAATATAGTTGTCAGTTTGCTTTGTTGAAATGCAACAGGGTATAACACCACTTGGATAACCATTTAGAATAACTCCTCTGCAGTGGAAGAACTTACTGAAGATGAGCGAACTAATCCTAATATATTGCTTGTTTCATTTGATGACAAGAATTACTCTAATTCTCCCTCCCATTTGACAATGCAAGGTAAGGGTCCCATATAATTAAGAGCATATAGAAGTTTATACAGCAATGAGATGCACTGAGTAGGGTCTTTATAACTGACCGATAACTTTTCTATAGTATATAAATCCTACATTGAACGTAATGGTTTTGGGAGACTTCTTATAAAGTCAACTTGGTTCCATCTCTGTGTAGGGGGATTGGCAGTGTTTGAAAAAGGGGGGAAGAAAGCAGTGGTAGAAGATTCATCTTGACTATAACAATATCTAGTCAAGAAATGCTAGGAAAATGCCACCTTTCCAAATCCAAGGTTGGAAGTTATAGGTATAGAGATTGGATGGGTCACATGTTAGTTGAATCCCATGATACTTAAAGTTATTGTAAATGCTCAATAATTTTATTTTTAAATTAAAATAGCATACATGGTATACTTACTTGCTCTGTGCCATGGTTTAGTACAGAGCATCCCCAATCCTTTTCTCGAGTCCCCTGCCTGTGCTCCTGGCTCCTTCCCGCCAAGTGCCACTATAGCAAGTCACTCCCAAGACCTGCTCTCTCTCTCTGTTCATTGACACACAGAGCAAGACTTAGTCTCGCCTCTTGCTCCCTCCTTACTGGCTGTGATTGAGAGTAGCAGCAGCCAATGCCTCCCCCTGCTGTCAATCAAATACTGACAAAGGAGCGAGGTGCGGCTGAGTTCAGATAGTGAGCCTGTACGAGTGCCCCCATAGAAAGAGGCTTTCTATGGGGGGGGGGCCCTCGCTGGAAAGGAGGAGCCAGGAGCATTGGTGGGGGCCCCGAGAAGAGGTTCGAGACTGCTTTGTGCAATTAGGAAAAAAAAAAAAAAGCATTTACACTGTAATGCAGAGAATGCATTAAGTTAAGAAAATTGCCTTTACAATAATTTTAAGTGAGTTTTCCTTCCATAGAAATAGGACTAGAGAACAAAAGTGGGATGCACTGGACTGGGGCTCAGTACACACAAAGACTGTTTTGTGGGCCATGGCACAGCAGCCCATTCATTTGAATGGGCTGCTGTGCCTCACAAAACGCAGGTAAAGGTACCTGCATGTTTCCAGAAATTGTAGCCTGCAATGGGAACTGCACTACAAGGTGGTTCCCAGCGCGGATGGCATGCCATTAAGATTAATGGCACCTGTCCACGGGTCCAGCGGTTTGTGTATGTTTGGTTGCAGCTGCGGGATGAAGTGCGGGTCCTGCAATGGCTTCCACCCACACTAGTGTGAACCAAGCATAAGTCAAGCCAAAATTAGGAACCTCAGATTAAAATTTGAAAGAAGGCTAAAATAAATTTCTGCAGGAGAGAGGAAAAGAGACATTTCAGGGGTGCTCATATACAGGATAACATCCGCAAATGTGGAATCCTTCTTTGGGTCAACCTTTATACCCTTTATGTTCTGATTTATTTTAACTGTGGCTAATAACAGCTAGAAATAATATATTTTAAATTCATAAGGGGCAACGGACACCCTTGTCTAGCACTGCTAATAAGTCAGGTGAGTGTGAGC